CCACATCTTCTTTTTTTCTATCATAAAGAATTGATGTAAGTACATGATATAAAGTATTTATTTCCATTTAAACTTAGTTCGACGATAAGATCAATAAGGAATACGTATAGTATTCAAAAATGTCTACTCCCTATTTCGAAAAGTTCCCGTTTGAAATATATTTTAACACATGTTTGTATTGCAATAACATCTTTATAACATCTTTTTGACTCAAATATTTAATTTCTTCCGATGGGCAATGTCCAGATCCGTGCTAACGTAGCTTTCCATAAATTTGTGGTTTCAAACCAAAACAAAACCGGGTCCTATACTGAGACAAAACAGGGTCCTTGTGTAATAAACAACACTGACGAAACAGGGTCCTTCAATTTTGACATGACCCATTTCTTTCGTTCCATGCACAGAAATGCAAATATTGAGGTGCTCATAGTGACTAGCCATGCAATCTCTGTGTTAATATCTTTCTTTCCGTACTTTTCTTTCCGTACAATGTGCACAATTTAAAAAGAAATTAAACAAATTCGTAGCAAGGGTCACTCAATTCACCATTTTCATGTGCCTTTTTACTTATTTCTCCATTAATCTAGAACGGTTGTAGAAAATATTACATCACACAATCGAAAATAGTTATATGTGTATGTTTATCCTTCAATGTCATTAAAAAACAAATAAATAAACAGAAATTCTACCTTTTCTCTGTCTGTTGATTGTCCGTCACCGTACCGGACATTAGATACTATCGAGTCCAAACATTTTTTGCCGGGGTAGTTTAGACACAGTGATCATTGTAAACATACATGATTTCTGCCGATATTGTTTGGATCAGTGGCACTTAAAATTGCTAGGTAAGTGTGCGATCATATGGAAATATATATTCAAAAGTTATAAAACTTACGAGTCAAGCAGAGTTATATGATTATGACGAAATAACCGTCTTCAAGTATTGACAAAATCAGTCATTTTTTTAATCAAGGTAAATTTGTCTATATCTATGTTATATTATCATTATTTTAATGTATGAACATAAGTCATTTTTTTATTCTGATCCCGATTCGGAGACTTGTTGAAATATCCATGTACTATAAATGTTGCACCTTTTTGTATAGTTTTATAGATCTATATATGATTTCCAGTGAGCTCGATTGTTGTTTATAAAAAAAACTCATTTTAAAGATACGAGGTTTTACAATTTAGTACGGCAGATACGTTTCCACTGACAGAAAATAAATGGTCTTCACAAATCGGAAAAAGGTTTAAAACCTTTAAAAGTTCTTTCAATTTTGAAACAAAGTTATGGTGGTTTAATATATGTTTGGAAGAGTAGTTTAGAGATGTGGATATGATATAAAAATGCTTAACAACAAAGAAAAGATTAAGGACATCCCAGAACGTTGTAATCTCGTTTGACACAGTGTGACTAGATGACGTCAGCAATCATTGTAAGCATACATGATTTCTGCTGATATTGTTAGGATCATTGGCAATTAAAATTTCTTTGGTCAGCTAAAAAAAAGGTGTGCAATCATATGGAAATATATATGTAAAGGTAAAAAACTTATAAGTCGCTCACAGTTATATGATCTTATATGATTATGACGAAATAGCCGTCTTCAAGTATTGACGAAATTGGTTATTTTTTAATCCAGGTACATTTCTTATATTCATATTTCATTGTTATTATTATTTTACTGTATGAGTATTTATTCAAATGCTTATTCTGATCAGGATTTAGAGACTTGTTGAAGTATCCATGTTATATAAATTTTGCACCTTTTTTGTATAGTGATATAGATTTATATATGATTTACAATGAGCTCGATTGTTGTTTATAAAAAAAAACTCATTTTAAAGATAAGAGGTTTTAAAATTTAGAACGGCATATACGTTTCCACTGGGGAAGCAAGACATTCCGCCCCACTGTCAAATCGCCCTAGACCAAATCGCCTGACTTATCCACCAACTCACCCACTCTAGTTTACCAACTCGCCCCACTTTTTACCAACTCGCCCCACTCTTGTTTACCAACTCGCCCCACTTATGAAAAAAAGTAAAATCCCGATGAATTTAGTCCTGCCAACTCGCCCCACTTATGAAAAGTAGTGTAATCTACACAATTTCCCCAACTGTACTGCTAAATAAACAAGATGCCTTCCTAAGCTTTTCATCAGTATTCATTGTATTCTTTTTTCATAAGTGGGCTGAGTTTGCAGTCTGGATTAAAAACTACTTTTCATAAGTTGGGCGAGTTGGTTGGTCTAAAATCATCAGGATTAAACTACTTTTCCTAAGTGGGTCGAGCTGGCAGACCTTTATTCATCGCGGTTAACCTACTTTTCAATAGTTGGGCTGGTTGGTTGGTCTAAAATCATCGCCATCGGGATTAAACTACATTTTCACAAATCGGAAAAAGGTGTAAAACAGTTCTTTCAATTTTGAAACAAAGTTACGGTGGTTTAAAATATGTTACGAAGAGTAGTAAGATGTGGAAATAATTTTAAAAAAATGCACATCATGTATGAATGTCAACAACCACTGAATTAGTAATGTACTTCTATCAGTTAATGTTTGCTACCGTATATCAGGGATTAATACGAGTGTGTTTACCTTAATGGTTTTGGCTTTGCTGTTTAGTCCTTTTTATTAGCTCACCTGACCGAAAAGGCCAAATGAGCTTTTCTCATAAAATTAGAATTATTGTAAAATTCAATAGTGACATGTACAATTCTAATTATATAAAAAGAAAATATTGTTACATAAATATTTATATATACATTTATAAACAATATTTATACATATGGACAGATAAATGTTTGTATGTTTATGTATAACCAATGTTTATTGTCTTTGGTAACAATACTGTAATTTTGGATTTTAAACCTATAAAATTTCTTATTAGTTCCCTACCGACGAAGTCGAAGGGGACTTTAGGTTTGCACTCCGTCCGTCTGTCCATCCGTCAGTCCGGCAAATCAGTTTTCCACACTTTTTTCTTCATGCTTGAAGATATTGATTTGAAATTTGGTGTATTGTTTTATCATGACAAGTTACAGATTAAGTTCGAATTTTGTTCCGGTCTGATGATTTTGTGCAGAGTTATGGTCCTTGAACTTAGAAAATTCAATGAAATAATCAGTTTTCAACTTTTTTTTGTCATTCTTGAAGATATTGATTTGAAAATTGGTATATAGTTTTATAATGACAAGTTACAGATCAAGTTCAAATTTTGTTCCGGTCTGATGATTTTGTGCAGCGTTATGGTCCTTGGACTTAGAAAATTCACTTAAATAATCAGTTTTCAACTCTTTTTTTCGTCATGCTTGAAGATATTGACTTGATTTTTGTTGTATAGTTTGTACACCATGACAAGTTATAGATCTAGTTAGAATTTTGTTCCAATACAATGAATTTTTAACCGGTAGCGGACTATGTATTGCCATGCAATACTCACATAATGCTTGTTTTATCTTATCTTTGGGCCAGTCGTTGTTGTCCGTCGTCTTTAACTTTTACAAAAATCTTCTCCTCTAAAACAACGGGGCCAAAATTTACAAAACTTGGTCACAATCATCATTAGGGTATTTTGTTTAATAAATGAGTCCAATGAACCCGCCTGCCAACCAACATGGTAAACATGACTAAAAATAAAACATAGGGGTTAAATGCAAGTTTGGTCTATTATTTTAAAAAACTGCTATTAATAGAAAAATTGTGAAAGAGGCAGAAGTGTTCAAAATGATGAGATCTACCTTTTGTCAATTTACTTCTAAACTGTCAGGCGACTTCTTATAGGAGTTATCGCTCTTAAATGATGAATTTTACTGAAAAAAACTGTTATAGATATAGGAAACTTTATATACCAAAACTGATCAGTAAGACAATATCTACAAATAAGTCCAATGGTCGAAATAGTCAGACGACTCCTTATTCAAATCATTGCCCTTTAATGACCATTTTCATACTTTTTTTTGCGTTTTTGATTATATATCTGAAAAACTATAATAGATGGGTAGGAACTTAAATTAGCAAAAATTATCAGCAAGACTTGACCTACAAATAAGTCAAAAAGCCAAAATCGTCAGTTGTCTCCTTGTAGGAGTTCTTGCTGTTTAATGACGATTTTTACCAATATTTCTTGATTTTACCTACTATCTTGAAAACTATTAATAATAGATAGACATTTAAATAGCAAAAATTATCAGCAAGACAAGATCTACAAATAAGTCAAATTTTGCCGAATTTGATATTTATACTTTATATGAGCGATTGCCTTAAATGATATTTTTTTTCTGTTTTTTGTGTTTTGGGCTAAAACATTAGAAAATAGAGAGAAACTGTAAACAGAAAAAATTATCAGCAATACAAGATCAACAAAAAAAAAGGTTTTTGTCATAAATTCTATTCTACAATGGTGGAGAAAATCCAGTGACGAAGATGCTCATAGACCTAGGTGAGCGACACAGGCTCTTTAGAACCTCTTATTTCACTCATTCTCTTGAAACTGCAAGTGTTTGAATGAAGCTTTAAAAAAATTTACAGTATATAGTTTATTATGAGCGCCTGATGCATACCTTTTTGACGATATGACACATATATATGAGAGTTGTTTCAGAGCTAACTTCATTTTTACTTTAGGCAAGAAATATGAATAAATATAGCTAAGAAATCATGTAAACAATTCCTTGCTTTGGGACTTCTTAATTGTAAATCAAATTTAGAAATTTTCTCTTAAACATTTGACCAGATGGTTGTTGGATTGGCTTGTCCAAACTTATTTTATTCGATTTTTAAGTGTTTTTATCTATCCGGGAAATCTTTTTCTATATGTCCTTCCCAAAATAACATTATCATTTTTCAACATATCTGAAACAAGATTCAAATTATTTTTAAAATTCGCGCTTATGACAAGTTGTGTATCTGTCAGTTTACCTGTATTATGACGTAATTTGTTATTATCTTAGTCATAACACAGGTGGGAGCTTTCGTTTAATCTATCGTATGTCTATTTAAAGATTTAGGGCACCCCAGCACGGTGTGATCTCACAATGTGGCTTATTGTCATCAGCAATCATTGTAAACATACATGATTTCTGCTGATATTGTTGGGATCAGTGGCATTGAAAATTGCTAGGTCATCAACAAAAAGTGAGCAATCAAATGGAAATATATATGTAAAGGTAAAAAAAACTTACGAGTCACGCACAGTTATATGATTATGACGAAATAACCGTCTTCAAGTATTGACAAAATCAGTCATTTTCTTTTTTAATCCAGGTAATTTTTTTAATATCTATGTTTATTATCATTATTATAATGTATGAACGTAAGTCATTTTTTTATTTTGATCCCGATTTGTTGAACTATCTATGTATTATGAATTTTACACCTTTTTTTATATTGATGTAGATCTTTATGTGATTTCTAATGAGCTCAATTGTTGTTTATAAAATCAAAACTCATTTTAAAGATACGAGATTTCATAATTTAGTACGATAGATACGTATCCACTGACGGAAAATAAATTGTCTACATATTTTTCACAAATCGGAAAAAAGTTTAAAAAGTTCTTTCAAATTTGAAACAAAGTGTTTGTGGTTATACGTTAGGAAGAGAAGTTAGATATGGAAATGATATGATAATGCACATGATGTATGAATGTCTACATCCACTGACTTGAAATGGACTTCTACCAGTAAATGTTTGCTACCGTATAACAGGTATTGATATAAGCGTGTTTACCTTAATGGTTTTGGCTTTTCTGTTAAGTCCTTTTTATTTTATTCCTATATTTCTCTAAACTATAAGTATTTTATTGAAGCTTTTAAAAAAGTTTCAATTTCAGTACAGAATATATTATATCAAACTTATTTAATAATTTTACTGCTGTATGGTCTTTTATGCAATGTCTGACAAAATCAATACCTAACGAATGTCATGTTTTAAACAGAACACTGACATTTTGTCATAATGTATTTCAGGACATGTCACTTTTAAATATGATGGTTTGACTTGAGGAATCCAGAAGACAATAAGATGCAATTTCCTATAACTTCTACAACAGACTTTAATCTACTGAAGTGTAATACATATGTTTCCATTTTGCACAAAATAGTATTTGATGATTTGACTGAGTTGCTCAGGGAACTGTTACAACACTCCATTGCTGATTCTCAGGTAGAAGATTATTACAAGGCAGTTAGGGGACAGTTTCCAAGTCGGTTTATACAGAGAGAAGAAGAACTCATTATTAATGCTGTAGGAACTGGATACAAATGTTTCGATATTACAATCATAACAAAACTCCTTCGACATTTACCTGAAAAAATCCATTTTGAAACACATTTGTCATCACTAGCCAGAGTAAGAAATGAAATTTGTCATTTACCAAACACAGATATTACTCAACCACAGTTTGAGACCTATTTTGATGAGTGCTGTGACATAGCCTCCGCCTTGGAGGACTATCTAAAGAAACCAAAGTTATTGGTACAGAAATTCCAGATCATATACGAAGTTAACATACGTTCCAAAGAAGGTAATATTAATTATACATGTCATTTATAAATGTATATAAATTATTAAAGTAAAGAATAAGAAAAACGGACTCGATCCCTGAGTACGAAAGTAACATACTAAAAGTATTAAGCTTGTTTACCCTGTTTCCTTATGTGTGCTTCTGTTCTTTTTAATGTTTGAAAATGAAATCAATGTGTTAAAAGTTTCACAATTTTTTGTTTTGAAATTCGCCATTACTCAAGTGTACAGACACAAACTATGTCCAGGGTAACTAATTGTAGGAGGTATAACTGTAAAAAATAAGATTTATTTGATTGCTTGCTTTGTTTTACAGGTAGGACTGACTTGCAAATAGAGGCATTAAATCACTCATTGATCGAACTGAATACTGAAGTAAGTTTTGTTATTGATATTCACAAAAAGGCATTAGAAGACCTCAAAGTTAATCTTACTAAAGAAAAATGTTTGACTTTATTTGTAAACATTGGAATTTTGTTGAAAATTGTGTAGTTGTGAAACTGCAAATTTTGAATCAAGTAAAAAACAGTAGTAATTTCAATTTTGTTCATTAAAGTTTACACGTTAACCGACAGTGGTCATAATAGAAATATTTTTTTTAAGTTTCAGGTAGAGGAAATATGTTATTCAGACTTGGAAGAAAGACTTTATATCTTGGAGGAACAGATTAGTCAGATAGATAGACAAACAGATGAAAGACACAGACAAGTGGTTTATTTGAAGACAGTTGTACAGCAAGTAAGTTCTATATGTCAACTTGTTCTTGAATAAAGAAATAAATGTAAAGCCAAACCTCAATAATTGTTAATTAAAAGAAATTTATGAAAAATATGTAAAAATACATAAAATTTACATCTTTCCCTGACAGGGAATGGTACTTTGTAAACCTAATCAATTTATCATATGTAATGATAATTTTGTATTTGCAGGTGCATGAAAAATTTGATCCACCTGAAGAAGGCTATTGGAATCAAAATGCACAAGGTAACATTTTTATAATGCAATGAATAGTTTGTGATAATTTGACAGCATGTCCAATAAGGCTTTTATGAGTTAAATGTAACTTTACGCGCAGTTCTAAAATACGGGAAAGTGTTACATTTATCTATGAGTTACATTCTAGTCTTCCCATCATTAACCACTAAGAAATATGAAATAATTAAGTAATTATTTCTCTTCTTTTGTTTCGTTTATATTGTATTTCATATAAACCTAGATGTAATGGTGGTTAATCTTAAGTACAAAGATAAAGATCAATGAGAACCTAAATTCCAAAAACGTTTTGCCAAAACAGCTAAGGTGATCCATTTTTTTGTGTGAAGAAAATCTTTAGATTTTCGACCAGTTCAAGTATTGTAAACCGTTAATTTCGAAATATGACAAAACAATGAAAACTCATGTCAACACAGAAGTGCTGACTACTAGGCTGATGATACCTTCGGGGGCGGGGGACCTCCGCCAGCAGTGGCATCGAGCAAGTGATTGTAAAAATACTCATCAAAGATAATAGGATTATAATTCTGTACGCAAGACGCCAGTTTTGTCTATAAAATACTCATCAGTGACGCTTGAATAAAACAATTAAAAAAAAGTACGAAGTTGAAGAGCATTGCGAACAAAAAAATCCGTAAAGTTTTACAAAATACAGCTTAGGTGATATATATTTGTAGAACAAAATCCTTAGTATTTTGACTTATTCAAAGTTTTGTAAACTGGTAATTTCTAAATAGAACAATATCAATGATAATTCATGCCAATAAAATCATCATAGATACCAGGATTAACATTATGTACGTCAAAAGCACGTTTCGTCTACAAATGACTCATTAGTGATGCTCGAAACAAGCCAAATAAGTATGAAGTTGAAGAGCTTCGAAGGTCCAAAAATCTGAAAGGTTTTGCCAAATACAGATAAGGTAATATATTTTATAACCCCCTACACACCCACAGACTCACGCACGCAGACAGAGGGAGAAAGTGACTACAGTTTTCTAGAAAAAACAAATCTGGAATTAAAAAACCCAAGTATTAAATAGTAAAAAGTTTTGAACGAAATGAAATTACAAACACTTAAGAATGTGAATATTGGTATCAACACAATGAACTACTATTGTGAGTACTCAAAACCATCGCGATCGTTTCAAATGAGAATTTAAGAATTTCATTAAGACCAAATATTATTTGAAATGCCCTATTTAAGTCTATATCAATGTTTACTTTGTGTGTGTCTGAGTAAAGTATGTCGTCTGACAAAAAAAAAACGACAGACGTCAAACTAATTCATTCCGGATTACATTTGTATGTACTATTCGTTTTGTTGATTTAACTTTCCTTAGATGCAAATACTTCTGCATATAGGATATATCTATTTCAGAAGGACTATATATCGAGCCTGATTCTCTAAAACACAGAGAGACAGAACCACCTGATAAGGTAAGGACCAATCTTTTTCTAATATGTTATTGGTGAAGTAGTCGTGTTGGTAATATGCAAATTGAGAAGAATAATTGAATAAAAGGTCAAGACAATAAGAAGCTGATTTTCAGTGGTGAATTAATTTTACAGAAAATTATACACGAATGTTTGCGGAGAGACGATGTGTTAAGTACATGGCATGAAAGATATCATCCACAAATGTCAACTTAATTTTAGTATCATTTCATGAAATGATGAAATTAAATTGGAAAAAAAGGTCTGCCCTTTAAAATGACATATCTCAATTACTGCTTATCAAGATATGCACTGCACTACTAGATTGATCATCAGGTATAACGCGTTTTATTACAAAGGAGTACATTTGACAACAATGAAAAGACTCCAAAATATACAAAAATAATTTAAACATTTGGGCTAGGCTATTGCTTAAATTATCAAGCAGAGAATTAATGAAACAAAGCATAAAACGTAAATGTTAAAAAACAAGCCATTATCAGTCTGATTATCATTTCTATTTAAAATGGCAAGGAAATTAACAAATTCCTCACACAGAAAGGTGTATAACAATTAAATAACTTTTTATCTAAACATGGACTCCCTTCAACTTTGATTAATTCCTGAGTTACAGATTTGATTAATAATTGGTATTTTTTAAATTCTTTTCTTACAGGCTAGACAAGGTTCTTTTTTGGACATAACAGCAGAAGTAACAACAGTTGAAAAAGAAAGTTGTGAAAGACATGAAAATATACAGCATTGTATTCCATTTACTAGGTGAGATTTATCAAAATTACCCACTTCGAAACAAATAATTTAATGAAAACTTTTTCAAGCAAACTAATAATGATATACACACATTGAATAAATTACAAACTTTGCATAAGCTTTGGAAACAAATAGTAAACCTTCAAGTCGTAAGCATATATCCCCATATCATTGATACTACTGATGGTAACACTAACGTATAAACATACGGAGTAGTCTCACAGAAAAAATACATTTTGAACCATAGTACTACGGTATGAGGTATAGATTTTTTTATACATTATATATTGAATGATTAATTTGCTTGTATTGTCCATATCTGTTTGAAAATGCTTAACGTTTCAAAGCACAGTTACTTATTTGTACAAGACCTATTGTTGACGCTTTGGAAAGTTTATAAAACATAAAACCAAGTGTGAAGCTTTCAGATATGCATCCACTAAGTTACAGAGTCTCCTCCACAAATCATTTTATCTTGATCATTTGTACATGATATTAACTCAATCAAATGATTTAATTTTCAGACCAACGCCATATCTTGAGTCCTTAAATGCATGTGGAGACCATGGTTATAGAACAAGTACTAATAGAAATCCAACTGCCATAGGAACATGTAGGGATCATTCAGCAGCTTTTCCAACTATAAAACCTGTGTTTTGTGATAAAAGAAGTTCAAATGAAATTGATGGGTCGGTGGTTCATCTAAAAGATGGAACTACTCATAGATTTGGATTGGGTCAGTCAAGTTCCTCCCACGTGGAAATTGTTGAAAATAAAAGAGTCTTACAAAGCTCTAGTACGTCGGTTGATACGATTATTCAACTTTCAGATGAAGAGTTCGGGGCTTGTCGAAGTCAGAGTCAGGATGATAAGCTACCAAAGACACACAAAGAAGAATACTATGCGATTCAAACTTCAAATGGAAAACAGATACAAGTAGGAGATTCTTTAGCAAAAACAGATCTGCTTTCCGGATATCCACTTCCTTCTCAGGGCAACGTTTCTAGCTCGAATGGTATTGATATTCATCAAAATTATAAAAAACAATCATCCAGACCACACTTGTTGACAAAACTATTATCTTTGTTACCATCCAAACCAAAGCAACTGTGTGACTTCGTATTTTCATCTAAGAGAAACAGGTATGGAACATGTTGCATTTATGATTTGCTTGAAGGAATATACGTTTGAAATTTAATCAATGTTTTTCACCGTCTACAAATTTGGACAAGCAATACAATTTCGAGGCTTTTTATTTTGATATCGAACGTTTTAACATTTATTGCTGCGCACAATAATTACTGCATGCATGCTTAAAGTTTTCAAAGTAAGATAATTAAAAAAAATACACAATTTATTTAACACGCATTTGCATAATTGAAACAGTACACAAGATATGTGAATTTAAACTATAGGTCGGCGAAGTGACAAATAACATTAAAATATCTCAATACATAACATATGATACAAGATGAATTATGTATTCACTGTTTCAATGAGGAAATTGTAAATCTAAATACTTCCGCATTTAGGAAAAGAATGAAGAGAAGAAAGAGAAAAGACAGTTTGGATGATCTTGGTGTAGAGTGGAGACTGGGTGACAAAAAACTGAATAAGGAATTTAAAAATGACATGAATCAAGGTAAACCAGTAACAAACTTGAAAAACAAAAAAAAAGTCTATCACTTTAATCATTTTATGGTATAATTTTTTAAAAATATCAAGTAATGATTGTATTTTTTGTTGAAATCGCCGGTGAAAGTCTTGATGATTTCTAATAAGTAGAGCTCAAATGTACGTTTCAGGTAAGACATTATCTTGCATTACAGCTTTGATCCAATAGAAAAGCTGACAAATAGAAAAAAAAAAGAATGAAAAATATCATGGTGAATACAAAAAAAATATATATTTTCTCAAAGATTTGCCATATCCTTTGAGTTATCTAGACGCGATAAATTGTCTCCTCCTTTGTCATCCAATAAGTAAAAAAAACCTAACACATCTGAAATGTTTCATTCTTCAAAAAGAAAATATTTAAACAAAAGAAAAACAATGTTGTTGATCACTGTGACAGATTTAATATATGATACAGGAACATGGTGAAGCCCAAAATGCAGCCTGGCAACAATGTTGCCTTTTTTCACCAGCAGCATGACATGCTTATATTACTTTTTATGGTTTATGTAGATGTTATATTTTTTATTATAGATCTTAAGAGCTACTGTGGAACTGCAGTTGTCCTCCATTCCAACGACGACAATGAAAATGCTGCACATTTTCAAAGAGAACTGAATATAGGAGTTCCAAACATGAAAATAGAATTTCAAGCTGAAGTGTGTTTACCAGGACAATTTCGGTCTAATGTGATCCCGTATTTGGAAAGACAATATATTTTTGTTTTAATATCTAAAAATTACAAAAAGTCAGCAGATTTTCAGTTCATAGTCGAAAAATGTCTCTTGTGTTTAGAAAAGGATAAAAAATATGGACAGTTAATTCCAGTTTTAATGACAAAACAAGACAAACTGCCAGATGAGTTTTTGGCAAAGAAGCCAGTGGCATTTTTTGATGAACATTCAATGAAAAAGCTTTTCCGGTCAATTTCATGTTAGTTTGTTTTTAAATAAAGGTGTAACCGTTTCGTTTTTCTAAGAATTACAAGTCCAGCAAACACAACGAAAAAAAGTCATTCCCCGAAAAAAGTTTTCAACAACAGAACTGCTTTCGTGATATGAAGTCGCATTTATGGGATCAGTTTCTTAATCGATACTATTGTTGTAGGGTATATTGAAGCAGTTCTTAGGTTTGTTAAATTCTAGGATAATCCTCAAAGTGTATGTTCGTGTTTCTCTCAACTGCTTTCTTGACCTAGTAATGTCATTTTCAGTCTATTTTCCTTCAACATATACTATTAAGCATAATTGATGAGTAATTAAAAAACAAAAATGAAACGCATATACAAATGAAAGACATACTAAAATCAATTTTAAGCGTCCGAAGCGATTACCTGGATCTACCTTCATCAGGAACGCTCAAAATTCAAAATTTGAATGCTGGATGTATAAATACCGAACTACGCTAATTTAGAGTTCTAGATCAAAGGGACAAAAAATTAATAGCCAAATCCGTCTAAGGTCAACTTTACCTGAGGATGTTTGAACCTTAATTTATTTTTTATTTCTGAATTTATCAACATGAAACTTAAGAAAGGGTTTTTTATAAATCATGTCAGTACCGAAGCACTGGCTACTGAATAAAGTGCTTATGAAATTAATTTTCGTTCCTGGTAATTGTGTGTCACTACCACAATATCGATTTTACTTGCTGGTGGTCTGTAAGCCTGATGGGTATCATTACTAGTATAAAATTTTCAGTTTACAAACATGTATTTCAAATGCTTCTTTTTGTAAATTTATTGGAGTGTAAATGCGTTGACCGAAGTATATTCTAAAAATGTGTGCACGGTCAATGCTTTTACAATCCTATAAAATTACTAAAAGAAGCATTCAATACTTATAATTACATTTTTTTGCTGGGATCATGAAAACACGATTTCTATCAGGTTTTTCTTTTATTTACGTGTGCACTTTATTGTGGAAGCTCATGTCATCATGAATCTTACATTTCATTTTGAAATGAAGGTTAATTTTAGAATAACGCGATCGAGAGTGCTGTTAGCCAGTCAAAATAACGTATTTTAATGAAACATACATGTAATGTAATTATTTTATATTCAATCTATAGAAATCCTGATATATATTTTCTTACATTGGTACCAGTGAATTATCGGATTTATCCAATCGAGAAAGGTAAATCATCAACTTTAAAGTCTGAGCCTCGGCGAGGCTTTTAAAATTATTAATTTAACTATCGAAATTGGATAAATCCGATAATCCACGAGTAACTATGTAATGATCTGTTTCTCTAATGATAGTCAAATAAATTTTCATTTTTGATAAACGAAAGAACCCTTGGAGTGCCTACCACATTCCACAAAGTTGTCAATTTCATTAACACCTGTTAGTATATTTTGGTTCATCCAGTGAGCTGATCAAGGTTATGACCCTTAATCTCATCCAACCATCTTCTAGGATCATCGGCAACCACACTTTGATTAAAAAAATGATACAATGGGTCCGGAAAGGGTAAAATTACCAAAGAATTAGAGAAAGAGGTTTATGGCCGACTTGTGTTTTTCTTTTATATAATTCATTCAACGTTTTATACTTTATATATTTCTAATCTTGGGTTTAAAACACAGTTGACGAGACGTAAACTTTGAAATGTGTTTATGGTGCATTAAGTTAATTTTGGTAGCTTGTTATATTTGATTCATAAGTGCAGAGATGAATAAGCAAATGATATTATAAAAGATGTTTTAATGTTTTCTTTATAATTTCTGAATTTTTCAACGGAAAATTTATGAGGTTTTTTTTTATGAATCATGAAGATTATCGGGAGATACCTTGTTAATAAATATTCCGTATCAACTTCACAAATAATACATGATGGTCTTGAAGTATAGATTCTAGGAACTGACGTTGTTTATCATCTCAATTACGTATTTTAGTGTTATTTTATTTGTCTTTGTAAGTTATTAACGTTTACTGTTTAGTCCATTTTTGGTAATATCCTTTTGGCGTGACTCGGTACTTATGCCCCCCGCCAATGTTCTGTTGTGCTGTGGTCATATTTTGTATACTTGCCTTTCGTTTTTGGTCTGTCTATATGCCATTTTGGTTTTTATTTGTAGACATATTTGTTTGTTGTCAAAGTGATTAAGATTATAACACAAAGCTGACTGCTGTACCCCTGTTTTTGACATTTTTACCTAGTATGTCTGTTTGTTTTGCTCACACATTGTTGTCAATATATGAAATTCTATGCGACTGTCATACAAGTGAGAGGTTTAACTAGCTATAAAACCAGGTTTAATCCACCATTTTCTACATAAGGAAATGCCTGTACCAAGTCAGGAATATGACAGTTGTTTTCCATTCGTTTGAGCTTTTGATTTTGCCATTTGAAAAGAAACTTTCCGATTTGAAATTTCCTTGGAGTTCGGTATTTTTGTTTTAACAATTCAGCTTAATCACTAAAAATACTAATATAAGATATTGCATTATTTATAAATTTATAAATTAATAAGACATCAAAATGATAACATCCTTGGAGATAAAAAGCTGAAGTGTCAGTCGGTGGACCCAAGTGAATGTATGGTCACCGAAATGATACATAGTTTCTACTCGGTTTATCGTGAATTTTGAGAATTCACATCAATCAGGAACACTTGGATTCTATTTTGTACATTTTCATTATTGACAAAGGAGAGAAAATGAACCCAATATGAACCAAAATTGTTAATACTATATAAACCTTTTACGTAACATTGTACATGTTGATCCATGTACATAAAAATGTATTTAAATGTCACAGATAGAATAGAGAAACGAAACGAAGAATATGTTAAAGAAACAACAACCCGACCAAAGAGCAGAAAACGCAGCGAGAAAATCCCGCACCTGGAGGCAGGCTTCAGCTGGCCCTTTAACTATTATGTGTACTAGTTTTACGAAATGGACGCCACACTAAACATCGAAACATACAAATGAATCAAAATTAAAAAAAAAAACACACACACAAGACACAACAAAGGGTAGATGTTCCTGACTTTGGATAAGCGCAAAAATGCGGCGGTTTAAAACATGTTTTCTCAACCGTCCCCTATACATCTATCTAATGTGGAATAAACAATAAACATCAAAACGCATAGTAAAACTCAGTTTAAAAGAAGTCCGAGTCCGATTTTATAATAGGTAACAGAAGAAACTAAGCAAAATGACAATGATCAACATAAATTAACAAAGGACTACTAGCAGTTACTGACATGCAAGCTCCAGACCTCAATTAAACTGATTGAAATATTATGTCTTTATCATATGAAGATCAACCACAATCCCTTCCGTTAGGGGATAGTTTAACCCTATTCATTTGAATAAATTAATACATAGTATATAATTCTGATACATGAAATATATAGGATTCAGAAGCAAGAAAAATTGTTAATATTAATCTGTCTCCTAGTTAGGAGCCCGTTAGGGGTTTATTATCATGCCATAATAAATTATACGAGAGGACATAACCATTATCATGCCAACAACTGGTTTTAGGGTCAATGTGTTTATTGTCGATGCAAAGACCCTATGAGTGAAACATAAAATATGCCATCTTTAATGACTTGACAACAGTATCGTAACTACATATCTCTTGTGAATAAGACTGTTTAAAGGTGTAGTTAGCTTTTGAGGTGAATGGAGACATTTGAATGTTTGTATCGTCGCATATTTCAAATAGTCATGGCTATAGTTACTATCTACTATCTAAATCTAATATTTTGTATTGAATGGTATTGTATGATGTCGTTACGACAAAAGAGATTTAAAAACTATTTGTAACCAATGTAGCAATCGTAAGCACGTCGAAGTTCTCGTTGTGTATCTTGTTTTATTTTTTTTTTGTATTTTGCCGCATCGCCTTTGAACCATGACGATACGGTAAATTACAAAAAAAAAAATTAAAACAAGATACATAGCGAAAACTTCTACGTGCTTACTGGAAATATATAGAGGGCATCAACAGGATGATAGTGGCACTAGAAACTGCGTGAGGCGCTTTTGGACTTGCATCAAGCACAAAAAATCTGATAATAACAGCATCCCTCACCTTAAATCGGAGGGAATCCTCCATACAGAATCAAAGGATAAGGCAAACATTCTAAATCCCACAGTTCAAAAAGCGTTTTCATCAAGATAAGATGTAACAGAAAAAGAATTCAAAGACAAGTTTAAGATGACAGGAAATTTTCACACTTTGCCTGAAATAAATATAACAGAAAATGGAGGCACCAAACTACTAATGACTTACTTAAACGTACACAAATTAAAGCAGCGGGACCAGACAATATAAAATCTAGAATTTTAAAAGAACTGTCTTCTGAGATATCAACCATTCTAACTTTGATATTTAAGAGTCATACAACACTGAAGACGTACCACACATATAGAGATCAACGAATGAATGTCCCATCTTAAAAAAGGTAAGAAATTTGAAGCAGTGAATTCTAGACCAGTGTCGCTGACTTGTATTGCTTGCAAACTTATGGAACACATTGTCACTAGCAACATCATGACTCGTGCTGATCAACATAATATCTTAAACCACTACTATATGGTTTTCGTAAAGAGCTGTCCTGTGACACCCAGCTAGTGGAATTCATAGATGACGTCTCAAAAAACCTGGATCTAGGTCAACAAACAGATTGTCTAATTATGGATTTCAGCAAAACATTCGACAAAGTGTTCCACAGTGTATTAACAAACAAACTTGACCACTATGGTATGAAAGAGAAAAGGCAACATTAGGATCTAAAATTTCCTAAGAGACCGGAAACAAGCTGTAATCGTTGAAGGAGAATCCTGCATCGAGACGACCTTTACAAACTGGCACTATGGGAACGAACCTAGAAAATGAGTTATCATTCACAAAAATGTAATGTACTTACCATCACAAGAAAGAGAGAACCATCAATAAACAAGTATGTACGCCATGGCCATGAACTAGAACATGTAACAGCAGCCAAAT